CACCTTGTTAAATATATAATGCTTTTGACATTTTACATGGTATAGTTAAATCATGTTAATCTAAATTAAATCTGGTTGTTATTTTCACTTGGACATGAAGCATGAAATAATGAGGTATGATTGTGTGTCAAATAGATAAATGGTGAATTGTGATGGCTAACATTGGTTGTCAAATTGACTATAAGTGAAATTAAACTCAAGTGTTTGGGTATACCTGTGAGGGTATTTTTTTAATTAAATCATTTCAACTGAGAAGATTCACCTTTAATATAGACCACACTTTTGGTGGCTGCCTGAATAAAGGAAGTATAAAAAGGAAGCCTTAGTTCTTTGTCTGATTTCTTTCCCTCTTCACTGGAAAGTCAATTTGTTCACTAACATTAAAGTCTATTTCTTTGGTATTCAATAGCTTGTAAGACTCTCAAATACTCTCTTCTCTCTCTCTCTCTCTCTCTCTCTCTCTCTCTCTCTCTCTCTCTGTTCATTCTGTCATTTCTGTTCCTCTAGATAACCATGAGTAATACAAAGGATAAACTCATACATGGTAAACCATAAATGAGTAATTTCAATCATTATATAAAAAGGTACTCTGTATATATCTCATATCTTCTATATCATCTTATACATATCCATTATTTACCAGTTATCTGGATAAGTCATAAACTCATACTAAAAATATATTCTCACATTTCTTGTTTACAATTATTAGTCCTCTTATTTTCAAAACACCGAACAACTTCTTTACAGAGAACCTGAAAGATGACATTTAAAAAATCCTTGACACATAAAAATATATTTTCATGACCCTTTATACAGCATATTGTGCAAATGTGTTAATGTGCAAATATTTGAATTAATTATCTGATTCATGACCTAGGGAGAAAGCTCAGTCTGTAAATTATGTGTCTGACAAACATGATTTCAATACTAGTATTAACATAAAGGGTAGGCGAAGAGCCACATACTGTAATTCCAGTAGTAGGAGGGTGGGGAGTTGGCCCCTGTGACTTGGTGGACAACTAGTCTAGACAAACTCCAGATTCTGTGAGAGACCACATCTTAAAAAATAAGGTGGACACAAATTGAGATGTCAGACACCTGATATCAACCTCTGGTCCCCACATGCACTAACATGCATATATATCTTTATATATAATGCATGAGCACCCACCATCTCCAAAACATGAAACTGGTTATGCATTTTAAGTAGTTTAATTTTTGCATCATTACTGTAATGTTTAGAGTCTAGTGATATTTGAAATTAATTATAAATTGTAATTGACAAAAATTCACGTTCCATCTTCAATGTGTCCAAGAGATTCAGAAATATTCCAGAAGCAATTCTATAGGGGTAAAACCTTAAGGATTTGAATCAGAAGAAAAAGCTTGATAACACTTAATTTTAAATAAAACATCTGTAACTGGTGAAATTTTCTACTTATTACATGAAGATACATACCTTAATGGAATGGGTAACACTATATTTCAAATAGTATTTTTAATTCAAAATTAAGTTTGAAGATTTCTTTTTCTTTCCATTTTCCTCCTTTTTATAAAAAATAGATCTATTTGAAACTTGTTTACCTTTTAATATGAAGCCTATTAGCAAGACAAGCCTGTCTACCTTTCCTCAATAGGAGACATAGTAGCTCCAGAAAAAAGCAACTCTTGATTTTTACATATGAAATGAGCTAACAAGCCAGCTGCAGCTTTGGTGAAGAACCTGGTGGTCTGCTTCCAAGCTTACAAAGTTATATTTAACCTACCTGTCAATACCATCAGAGATAGAAGAGGGGTAAATTATAATACAAAGTATAATCCAAGCAGCGTGCATAGCAATACTAGATCAAAAGAAGACTCCCTGTCATAGTGAACTTGAGATAAAGGAAATAACTGCTCCCCATTCTCAATCTGGGTTCCTTCTAGATAGGAACACTGTCAGCCATCACAGAGCCTTTGGTCCTTCTGCTTCTTCTAATTGTAGTTGTCACTTATACCATTGATACCTTAACTAAATGATAATTGCTGTCTGAGTATCATTAAGCTGATGGTGATTTGATCCCAGTATAGACAGATATCCAGAGTCAACAATTTGAATCTGGATACAACTTAAGGGGAAATGATGAGAGCCAAAGTTACATTTTAAGTTCTAATTACTATGATTGAGTGATTCGTGAAACAAAAATGCTTCTGAACTTCAAACCTCTTACCCAAGGACAGATAGCTCCTGAAATGCTGGAGACTATTGTTTATGAGAGAAAACAAGCCCCATGTGTGTTTTATTCCCCCAGTTTGTCTGAGCCATATGCACCCAATGTGCGTGATCACATGTGGGTTGGAGGTTCACAGGCTGGAGATAATCAGGATGTATGTTTGCCCCAGATTGGACCCAAAGGAAAATGCAAGGTATTATGGGTTTTCCTTCTTAAGCGCTTGCCAAAAGTGATTCTGGGTCATTTTCCAGGAACCTGGGTATGGACCTGGCCAGAGCCCATCTACCTGGCCAGTATTTAATTAAAGCCTGCTTTAAATTTGGCTTTAAAAATAATTCAAGTTTTATCTAGTTTGTGTCTATGGATTATAGGCACCAGAGTGGTCAAGAATACCACAAGAAACCCACAGAATCAACAAAACTAGGCTCATAGTGTCCCACAGAGACGAAATTGACAATCAGGGAGCCTGTATGGTATTGACTTAGGCCCTCTGTTCGTATGTTTTGGTTGTGAAGCTTGGTCTTCTTGTGGGACTTCTAACAGTGACATCAGTGGTTGTCTCCAACTTATTTGCCTGCTTTGGGATCCCTTTTCTCCTACTGGGTTGCCTTTCCCAGACTCATTTTAAGGGGAGATACCTAGTCTAAATGCGACTTGATATGACATGTGTGGTAGATATCCTGTATGCCTGCACTTTTCTGAAGGGAAACGGAGGGGGGGGTAAAAAGAAGGAGAGGGGAAATAAGGGGGGGTGAATGATAATAGGGGACTGAGGAAAGAAAACTTCAGTCAGGATATAATATATGAGAGGAAAAAAAGTAAAAGAAAAAATAGATTCTTTTCTCATACATTATTTACCAATTGTAGACTGTCCTAGCTCGTCTGCTCCTAGCACCTTGCACCATACCTCCCCTCTGGATCACTCCTTTTCTGTCACTCACTAGAAAATAACAGTCTTCTAAAACATATCAACCAAACAAGACAAACTAAAATACAGTAAGAAAACCATTATATGGAGGTTGGACATGGCAGCCCAACAGATTGACTCTATTCAAGTCACAAGAGCAGGCACAAGAAACAGGGACACACTCCATTAATATGTGCAGGAGTCCAATAAAAATGCTAAGCTACAAGCTATATATAAGTAGGGTCCTGCTCCATGCCAGTGTATGAACTGTACTTGAAGCTGTCACCCTATGTTCTAGTGCCTTTGGTGGGAAAACCTACTCTACATTCCACCAAAAGAGAAACATAAACACCAATCCAGCCACAAAACCTCTGACTTACACTGATACTCTGTCCTGCCTGCAAAATATACCAGGGACTTGGGAACAGAGCTTATGGGATTAGCTAACCAATGTCAGAGTGCACTTTGAGTTGGATCCCATAACTGACTCTGTTAGGGTAGTCACCCTAATAATTGACTAGATAGCCCAGAAACCTAGGGAAAACCAAACTCTATTGATAAAAAAGTATCAACAAAATGATTTTCATTGCTATATTCATAGAGAATTTCATTATTCAATAATCATCAGGAAGACTTTTCCAGCAGCAGATGTGAACAGATGCAGAGACCAAGAACATCTCTCTCTCTCTCTCTCTCTCTCTCTCTCTCTCTCTCTCTCACACACACACACACACACACACACTCAGAGAGAGAGAGAGAGAGAGAGAGAGAGAGAGAGAGAGAGAGAGAGAGAGAGAGAGAGAGAATATAAATGGGAGGTGTCCATCAAACATCAAATCCTTCCGTTCAGATATTAGGGGGCACGCGGAAGAGGAGGCAGAAAGAATGGAAGGACTAGAGGGGAGGGACAACCAGAGGCTCACTAGAAGAATAAGCAAAGAACATTTGATACTAAAACATTCATTTACACAATTCTTTTATTTATAATTTATTTATTCTTTTAAATTTCATTTTACCTTCCAACAACAGCTTTCCCTCCCACCCTTACTGCTGCCCACCCACTTCTTTCATAATAGATAGTTCATAACAATTATTTAAATTTCAAAAACAATGCTTCTTAAGTGGTGAATCTACAAGTTATATTTGGAAAATATTGTACTAAAGTTTTTACTAATAATTTAACACTTCCTTTGTTTTACATATTACATTTTTAGGAAGAATTTCTGAGGATATGTGAATTAATAAAGGTATCCATCAAAAATTTGACATATATTATTTTATTATCTATTTCAACAGATTATATTCCCTTTATTTTTGGTTTTTCCGGACAGAGTTTCTCTGTGTAGCTTTGGAGCCTATCCTGGCACTCGCTCTGGAAACCAGGCTGGCCTTGAAATTAAAGAGATCCTCCTGCCTCTGCCTCCCAAGTGCTGGGATTAAAGGTGTGCTATTTATTGAAACCACTGAATTTTTGAATGTTTGTTAAATAACTTGATTTTATATATTTATTTGATTTAATATTAAGAGACAATGGAATTATCACATTAGCAATTAAAGGCTTAGACTCTGTAGCTTAGAGAAATTGATATCTTGTCTATATTTTTAGGAGCTAGATTATCTGCCATGTTAAAATATTCAAATGTTCAGAGACTCAGTAGTATTACTTTTAGTGAAGTATTATTATTTCGGCATCTACCTTGTTGTAAGACTCAAATGTTTTCCCATGCCTAAAGCAATCAGAAGGAAGCAGAAGTGAAAATGGGTCTTTGAGATGTGTTTACTGTGTGTGGTTTACCACACACAATTATACACCTCAAGTTTTTACAGAGGTGTTAAAATGGATTGCATGTTTAAAAAAACACATGTGTTCAAGTACTTACTTTATTATGTTGTTCATAACATCTGGGTCATATGCAGTGACTTGTCCAATGATGCTTCCCTCCTTCACATCTTCATCCACCTCCATCAAGTAAGAGCGCTTGCTGAACACAGGGGGCTCATCTACATCTTCCACAGATATCTTAACCATGGCTGTGTCTTTGAAAGGCCCAAGATGTAAGAATCGAGGATCTGGATGTGTATTGCTTGCATCCACTCTTAAAGTGTATAACATTTTCTTTTCAAAATCTAAATTCTGAGTTAAAAAAAGTAAGAAATGTTAGAATACATTGGAAGACAGAGCAATCATTGATTAAATGAATGATTAATTATCTTTTAAAATTTTAATCAACTATGGCTAAGTAACTACCCTAATAACTGTTTAATAATTTTATTCAGTGAAATAGCATATACAATATAACTATCATGGAATGCATAAAAAGGCTGATGCCCACTAGGTAATTTTCTTCAATTGTCTGGGCAGAGTTACATAAAATATCATCTAAATTAGTACTGATTAAGCAATAGTAGTGTAAAATTAAACCTTACTAAAAATCAGAATATTTAATAAAATGTAAGTCTAGAATAAATTTTACATTTCATCAACTTGTGTATTTGTTGAAAGAAATGTATAAAGGAAAGAAAAGTAAAAATGATTAATATTGGCTATATTATGATTTACAAGGTTTCAGATCATTTTCAAGCATTACATTAAAAGTCAATACAATACAATAAACCAGAATATTTTACATAGCACCCTCTGATTCTTTAACTGCTAATTGAAAAGTAGGAGGCTTCAAGGTCAGTTCTGGCTCTTCATTCATTTTGTATCACTCATTTTACATAAACCATCACACCTACAAAAGATACAAGAAATGTATCAAGTGCCAGTGATGGATCTGGTTTATTGCTTATCCCATAGTGATATACAAAGAAAGTACCCTTGAGTGTACTCCCAGGCTCATCTACATCGAGAACAGTCATCTAGGCATGAATAGAAACATAACTATCGGGAACAATGTATCCCTTATTTGAAGAGAAATCAGTTTTCCTACTTTCTGTGATTAATGGACAACACAGAAAATGATGAAAAGTAAATCCACAGTTGTTTTTCCTCTGTACTGAAAAGTAAAAATAAACCAAAGAGCACTTAGTGAAAATAGGATGACATCCAAAAGAAACCTGTTTGACAGTTATGATCCCTTCCTGTGTGTCTTTGTCGGTAATCACTTCAAACATGTCCGATCCTTCTCCTTCTGAAATGCTGTATTCCAGCTCAGCATTCTCCCCGGTGTCAGGGTCATTGGCTTTTATCCTTCCAAGATGAGTTCCAAGGGGTGCAGACTCAAGAGAATTAAATTGGTAAGTACCTGTAAATTAAATCGTAACTGCATTTACTTTCAAATTCAGATGGCTCAAATTTTCTATTTCACTTTAAGTAAAGTGATTTAAATCAAGAGGCATTTTCATCATCTTGAGTTGTATACTGTCAAACGTTACAGATTTGTGGAGGACAAAAATGTATGGAAGTTTAACTTTATCAGTTTATACCCAAGAAATACAATTTTTATCAGTATTAAGAGAATGTTCAATGTTACTTGAAGAGCACACAGAAACCTGCTTTAATAATTCAGAACTTGACATGACAATCATGAAAACCAATTGTTTGTTACTTGATCATGATGTTAAATAATCTCACCACACATTTTACACATGCTCGGAATAAAAGAGTGAATGTGCAAATTTTCAAATAGTCCACATTTTTCCAATAATTTCAAGCAGCAATGTCTTTATTATGATTGTTTCTGCTAAAAACTTATATTTAATGTCTTTAAGTAGCATGTTTTCCACGTTGTATACAGATCCAACCATGCCTTATAATTTATTCTTCAGTTATGAAGAGAATTTCATTCACAAACTTTCTAGAAATGTGGAAAAATAAAATGATTAAAATAATATACTTAAACCTCTGTGCTGGACATTATATAAACTCAAATATTCTTTAGGATAACCTCATTAGTCTTTACAAAGAAGCAACTTGTGTAAATAATTGTCAGTGGACAGGCCAAAGGAAATTAACTTGCTCAGCTATGAAAATTAGAAAACAGAGTATAGACTCTTACTTCAAACTATAATCTCTTTCCTGTGATTTTGTGGGTAGGATGGGGAGGATTTATATCTCACTGTGGAATTCTATATTAAATTCTCTAAACTTTAATGTCAAACCCAAGTAAGTAAAACAAGGAAATGATGATAACAATTAATTCACAAATTTGTTATGAGGAATTAGTGCTACATCTGCCATTCTTTCAGTACATGGTCCAACCCTCAGCATTCTGTCACTGTTATAGCAGATATAGACCTTCTGTCAGTGTCCTGATATGTGACAGAGCTGTAGTGTGGTAAATCACCCAATTATACATTTAGTTTATATTTTAAAAATCTGAACAGAAAGTTTAGGTGACATCTGGAAGGAAATTTACTGATATTTAAGTTTCAGAAAATTAAATAACTCTAAAATTTAACAAGTTGTTACATAATTGATGATTTCAATATTAGTATGATATTAGCATAACCAAGTTATCATGACTTTTTAAGTAAACCAAAAGAATATTAAGATGCTGCCAATTTAACCCACATACATTTCTTTAAATATAGATTCTGTTTTTAGAGATGACAAAGCATGCAATCTGTGTTTTAAAATTCATTAAATAAAGGCTTATAATACTTGTTTATAAATTAGCCAAGAGTTGTGAACAGTGTATACTTCAAATATAAACAGGCAGACTTTTGCGCCCACATTCTTACCCATGTTGCACTGAAAGGTGGAATAGCAACAGGGACTGTGAGGACATCAGCCTGCAAAGCTGTCTTACTCATCAAAAGCTGGCAAACATGAAGTGCAAAAGAGACTTGGTTTTGTTTTGTTTTCTTCCATACCTCTTTGGGGATACATAACATCACTTTTTTTAATTTTAGGAAATTTTAACTTTTTCTTTTTAGGAGGGAGTGCATTGATTTGCTCTCATGAAAGGGACCATAAATATGAAACATTAGTTCTGTTGTAATGGTGTGTTTGGGAATATTCCCATTATTCTGTCTGTACAGCCCGCCTTACTCTGTGGAAACCGAGGAGGGTTGTTGTTGACGTCAGTGAGGGTGATGTTCACTGTGGTTGTTCCAGAAAGGCCTCCCATTTGGCCGCCCATGTCCTTCGCCTGAATAACCACCTGATACTGCTCTCTGTTTTCTCTGCTCATGTCTGGTAATGCAGTTTTTATTATGCCTTTAAGAAAAGTAGAAAATTAAAACACTGAGTTTTTAAACCCAGCTATACATTTCAATATCCATTTTACCAAAGATAAAAGAGTGTCCAAAATTAATTTAATGTAATTCACAAAACACAAAACATTCTATTTTGTGCATTTTTTATTTTGATTAATTTTTATAATCACTATGTTCTTTATGCTTTGAGTATTACATTATTCTGAAAATTATAGTAATCCCTGTGACATCTTAGTCTCATAAATTTAAACCCAATAAATAATAGATAGAGTAGCTAAGCAATCAAATAGATGTGTTAACATAAGATGTTTTATTTCATTTCCATAAAGCAACTGTAGGAAGCAGCAATTCAAAATTGTCTGGATAGGTTTTAAAACATAAAACTCCCTGAAGAAATTGTAGATCAAGTCTATATTAATAAGATGTAATAGACTAAGACTTGAGTGTATTTACCTGACTCTGGGTCCACTGAAAAATATGGCTGCCCTTGCAGTATGCTGTAGACCACTTTGGCACTGTTCCCATAGTTGGCATCGTCTGCATCAGTGGCAGTCACTTGTATGACAGAGGTACCTGCACCCAGCCCCACCCCAAGGAAAGGCACATCAATTCTTCTAAGTTGTATACTATTTTAAAGCCATTTTCTTACTCATTATTTTCTTAAATGAAAAGAAACCCTGGTTTTACTCTTCACTAACAAGGTATGAAAATGCATGATGTATTTTATCACAGAGATGAATACATCTAAAGAATTGACAATTTAGGTAATGGGAATATCATGATGAGGAAAGTTCTCATTAAACATAATAAAAATCAAGTTTTCAATTCACATATTTATTGCTAAATGAGAAGGTGCAAGGAAAATTTCAACAATTTTATCTTAGTGAACTGTGTCTATAAACCTAACAAAATATACAGAGGTAATGTTATAAAGAAGCAAACAAACAAATTATATTGCAAAATATACCCTTATCATGTCAAAATAATTGGGAGCAAGCACCAGAACTAAACACACACACCAGTAAAAAAAAAGAAAAAGAAAAAAAAAAAAACGAAGTAGCAGATATTTACTGTACATAATATCGGATATTTACTGTGACTTGTAAATCCATAAATAGTAAGTAATGAAATATTAAACTTTCTCAAAAGATAATTTATGAATTTCATATTTCTTGTATAACCAATTTCATTTCCCACAAAATGAAAATAATTTAAGCATTTAAATTTTATGGCTAAAGACAATCTCCTAATTTTTACACATTGCACTATTTTTCTAAGGAATTTGTTTCATTTCCTTTAGTCTTTTTCATGGTCCCATAGCTAACAAACCAAGCTTATTTCAGTTCGGTTAAACCTGTGGATTAAAGATTCAAAATGACACATGCCTCTGTAGCCTCTTTCTCCGGGACAGCTCACTGTTAGGAATAATATACATGGGGAAACTTGGTGGATTCCATGGTGGGTGAGGGTGACCAAGGTGGGGGACAAACATTCCAGGCAGAAAAAGCTAAAGTGAGAAGTTTTATTAGAAAGGGAAAGGAAGGGGGATAAAGAAAGGGAACAGAGGTAAAGAGACACAAGACAGAGAGGACAGAAGAAAAGAGTGATAGAGGAAAAGTCCAGCCTGTCCCAGGGGAACGGCAGGAAATAGAGCATAAGTGGGCAGAGGTCTTTCTTTTAAAAGGGTCCTTTGCACCTGCATTCAGACAAGTAGTACTGGAACACTGGGCTGACCAGGGCACTGCCTGAGTGCATTCTGCCAAGTGACAAGGGCAGGACAGCATAATGCCTGAATCCGAACACTCACCTCTTCTCCACAATAATTAACTTGAGAATCAAAGGGACAACTTCTCTCTTCCTAAGCATTTGTGTTTTGGGGTAATCAGAAGGGAGCATTGTTAATACAAACAGTAAAGTGTGAACAGTATCAATTAGAAGTGACACTATTAAAATTTTCATCAGTTAGAAATATTTTTTTTTCCTTTGAAGTGTAAGTGCTCTCTGGGCTTGGACATTCAGGATGCATTTAAATAGTTAGTCATGACACTAACCACATTGTCTAGAACCATGCCATTTCCTTAGGATGATTAGAGGAGCCTTAGCAGATTGTTAGCAGTTTAATTGTATTAAAACTTACATTTCATATCACAGGAGGACATATGCCTTTGGGCAGTATATCATAGACCCAGTAAGTTACAAGAAGAAAATTAGAACTAGCTAGTCTAACTAGAGTTCACCCAAACCATTCTAAGTTATTTTGCCTATAGACTAGGAGGAAAAAAAGCCTCAAAGGTGTACTTGTTGATTCCATAGACAGTGAGCCTTTTAAAAAGGGCCTAAACTATCATGGGAAGAAATCAGAATTTGACTTAATTTCAAAATTAACTAACAAGGAATGCTAGTTTGAAATTTTCTAAGTAGGGAGGACTAGATAGGTCTTTTAGAACATAAAACAGATCATATCTCAGAATTACAAAACATATTCCTTACAAACCCAAAATTCCAGAACATCCATAAGCATTAAGGGAAACCCTTGCAGCTATAAAAATTCAATATTTGATAGTTATGAAGAATTGAATCATCAAATATTTTTAAAATAACATTTAAAATTACTTAGTTCAGTCTATATATTGTTTATATTTTACAAATAATGATAAAATATATACTAATATTTAATATGATAAAGAAGACATGGAAATGGAGTATATGCATGGTAAGAAAATAACGAATTGTGGGATATTAAAGAATATTTATCAGAAATAGCAGAGAGAAGAGAAATAGTAACCATTATATAATATATTAAACATAATTTATTTTCAATAATAGGGGAGAGGACAAAATGTCATACACCAAAAAAATATATTTGATAGAGAAGTTTTACCTAGTTTTATTTTTTTTATTTTTATGTTTTGCCTGCATGTTTGTTTGAGAAAGCATGTGTGTCTGATTTCTCGGGCAAGCAGGGGAGGGCATCAGACACACTGGGACTGAAATTACAGACCATGACAAAGACACTGTGGGTTCTGGAAATCAAAACTACCCCCTCTATCCCCCTTCCAGAAGAGGAGTTCATGTCCTGTATCCATGAGCCACCCTTCCATGCCCCTTTCTGCTACTTTAAAAAGTAATTAAAGATGATCACTAATGTATTTATGAGTGTGTGTGTGTTTGTGTGTGTGTGTAAAGACAAAAAAAAAGAGATCATGAATTTGAAAAAAGAAAACAGAGGTTATATGGGAGTGTCTTAAGGAAGGAATAGGAAGTGTAAAATTATGTAATTATAATCTTAAATAATAAAAGAAAAATAAGTTTAAAGTACATGACAATATAAATAATTCTGATCAAATATTCTAATAATCAAAGATATCTGTCAACCTAATCATGCTTATTATATTTCTATGTATGGAAGAATCTATAAAAGGATGAGTAATATTTAAAATAATTTGCAAAATAACATAAAAACAATGGTTTTCAAAAGTTAAACTATATAACCATAATTCAGTTCAATTCAAAATTGATAATTTATCCAGAGGTTATAATTTTACATATATTTCTTCTAAGATGAAAGTTCATAAAATTCTGTAATGTAAATCAAAATTAACTTAATGCCAGGGAAATATAAATCAATCCAGGAAATTTTAACAGTCTGATGTTATAAGAACACCACAAAAGAATACCCATTTACTCATATAATGTGCAAGGGCCTTGTGATCTGAAAAGTCTCCTTTTTTTTTTCTAAATCCCTTTTATGTTATAACAATGAAAAATAGGAGAGAAGATAGAATATCAGTTTCCTCAAATACCCGAGTTACACAAGATAAAACTTCTTCACGAACTCTTGGTTCCTCTGAATAGACATGCTACATCACTAAAAAATAACCATGACACCCTCTCAGTAGAAAGGTATAAAATATTAATTTTTGATAATAGGAATTTTTATTCAAACATACATTATTATGCTATTATATATATTGAACTAATAAATAAGTAATGTTAGATGTAGAAAAATGTCTTACATATTATGCATTTAAGTAGTATTAGTTCAGCAATATTTTAAGACAATATTTTGCTCTTTTTATAGAATGTAGTTATTACACATTGAGATAATTAAATGCATTAACACACATAAAAGTAGTAATTTGGTATACTAATCAGTGGTGCTTAAAATTGGGACAGTCTTAGAACAGTGGTATACTAATCAGTGGTGCTTAAAATTGGGACAGTCTTAGAACTGTGAGAAATGACTGTTTCTAATTTGCATGTAAAGCCAATTAGAAGCTATTACACACAGATACACAGCACACATCTGTGACTTTTAGAATGATGCTTTATATTATTTGATCTTCATTCAGTTGTTAAATTCCTTTGAATTTTGAATTCCTAATAAACAGGATGGGCAGCAAAGTTCTAGTTCTCATATTTATAAAATAAGGTTGTTTTGATAATGAAATGAGTCTGTTATGTAGAAACAATTTGTCAAATACAACAGTTTTCCTTTTCTGTTTAATGTGAGAAGAACTGCTGACATAGTTAATTCCCCCCTTCGGGCAGCCATGCATTCTACAGGACAGCTCATTTAAATGACAGAGCCGGTGTTGATCCGAATGGAATCAAACATCTTCACTCAGTAAGTTACAATTAAAAGGAGACATTGACACATTAATCATTGAAAATAATTGGAATGGAGTTGTTTGACTAAAATAAAAGGCTCTGTATACGGCTCTGAAATTGAAAGAAGAACGTATACAATTACATGCCTCTAAATTTCTTAGTAGAAATATGAGAGTAAACATGCTGTGTACATGTGTTAGTAGATACCTACCAACTCCAGACATTTCAGGAACACTGGCTGTGTACAAGTCTTTTGTGAATTTTGGCTCATTGTCATTGATATCATGAATTTTAATGATGAATTCAGATTCTGGCTCTACTTGCCGCCCAGTCTTTCTGTCGATAGCCTTGGCACGGAGAATGTACAGGGATTTTTCTTCTCTGTCTAATTTCTTTGCAGCATGAATGTCTCCTGTATTTTCATCTATAACGAACAGATTGCCAGCACCATCTCCTGTCAAGATGTATTTTAAATTTCCATCTCCTTTATCTTGGTCAGTGTGGAGCTTCCAAGAATAGGAAAGAAAATACTGTAAATATAGGGGTGGTCATTACAGTGTAAACAATTTGATATACACTAATTTCCCCCCATGTCATATTATGTCAATCATGATCTGAACACATACCTCAGATCAAGGGACATTAAACATTTCAGATTTTGTTATTCTTAAAATATTACATAGTTATAGTTGGTCCCCACGGTTGGATGGGCTTTAGAATAAATGGTACTTCAGTTCTTCAAAACTTAGTGTTTGAAATATACTTTTGAGTGGAATATTACCAAAGTTTAAGCCTCTACTTTATTACAAAAGAGGAAAATAACTTTGACTCCATTTTGTGTCTAAAGTATCAATCTGAATTTCACTTTAAGGAAATAAACTCAAAGATATAACACGAGGCACTTACAATTTATTCCAATAATTACTGTATAATTAATTCTTTAGTTGTTACTTAGTGTTCTCCCCTGGTGACATAAACCCGCAAAATACTTTGTATGTATGGGAGCTAGTCAGAAAGAGGAAGTACTTTAAATGTCAAATAATTTGCAATAAAATGTTTTCTTTCTTTAATTTAATTTTTAATTTTACATTTCCATACAGTTCCCCCTTCCTTGTCTCATCCTCCCCCCACCACCTTGCTTTCACCCCATTACGTATCCACTCCTCAGAGAGGGTACACTCACAGTAAGACTTTAATTATTTCTACTACCATTTTCTCATATATGAGAGATGATCTTCTCTATAAACATTTGAAAATTCAAGTGATGCTAAACAAGTTGTGGATATGTCATGTTTTAAATAAAAATTAAGATCTATTCTAATTAATTAATTTATTCTATAAAGATAACTTCTCAGTAAAAGTAAGCTCATGTTTGGGGTTGGAATTCACTTGTAAAACAACGCCTAAATGAACCTAGGATGAATCCCTAATAGTAAAATAATAATGATGAAAAATGATAAAGAATAATTATGAATATATAGACAATCCACTACTTAGTTAAAACAAGTGAACTACAATAATCAGGCCATTCTGTATTGAGTGAAACCGTAGTTTTGACAAGGCAATGGCTCAAATCCTTATCCCTTACCCAGGGAATGTAATTTTGACAAATGAAAAGTAACTCTTGGAATTTCTTTATTGCTTCAAGGCTCCTGGGAGAAAGAGAGCATTTAAAAGAGAAAAAGAAGCAAGAAGAAGAAGTGAGCAGGAATTAGAAGTAGGACAGGAGAATTAGAATAGAAACAGAAGCATAAAGACATTGAATCAGAAAAGCATGCAATAGGAGATTCTTCCACCCAAGACATCCTGAGTCCTTCCTGGCTCCTGCTTCCTCTCTGAACTCTGAGCAGGACTTGGGGCTGGACCCCAAATGTTCTGATTAGGCTGGCACATACTATCATCTTTGCTAAAGTTCCAAAGTCTAGGGGCTGTACTGCTCTTTCCCATTTTCCTTTCTGATATAACCGAGCATTTTAGTTATCCAGCCTTTTCATCTACTCTTTACTCTGGTTTTCGCCTCTCGTCTAGCCGCTCTTCTCACATGCACCAGTTTAAGGTCATGCTTAGTCTCGAACCAGATGCCTTTAGCTATGCTCTCCCTCATATCTACAATAAATCTCCTCTACCATACCTAGGGTCAGTCATGTCCTTCATTTTCATTCATATATGAATGCCTCCAATATGTTCATGCATCTGAACAACAGATCCCCAACTGTTAGCACTGTTTTGTAGGTGGTAGCATCTTGAAGACTTAGAGCCTTGCTAAAAAAAATGAGTCACTTGCAGTGGACCTAGGGTGTTTGATAATTTGGATTCAATTCCATGACCCTCTTTGATTCCTGAAAGCAGATACAGTTTGATCAGCTCTCTTACACACCTGCTACCTTACATTGACCAGCATGATGGTCTTGTCCTATTAAGTCCTAAGTCAAAATTCCACTTCCCTCCCCTCAGTTGCAACAAGGCAAATGAATCAATGAAATGAACAGCAAAGTCTTTGTTCAATAAGCTCATGAAGAAAGTGGACATGGCACCAGGGGAAGAGGGTTTTTTTTTTTTTTTTTTGTCAATGTTCAGCAAAACAGATGCTGGTGCATCAAGGTCATCTTTAGAGTAGCTGATAAATCTCAAGCTGTAGCCAGTGGGAACTAATATGCCAGTAAGCCACCAATGCATCATTACTGAAGGTTGACTACACATCTGCATTTCACAAATGAGTCATTCTAATACAGGTTTTTTCCCTTACATTTAAACATGTGACATAACTTCTTTCTTGGAACATACAATGAAACTTTCAACAGAACTCAAGCATAGTTGTTCTTGACCAGTAACTTCATTACTCAATAACAGAAGCATAGCAGTGCATTCCTGTTGACAAAATTCACCTATCTAATATCATTTTATCTACAAGAATAAAAATACCATTTTCTAAATTTTATAAATACTAAAGACAACTCCTTTGTCAAAACATTATTCATATTTAAATGAGTGCCACATACTTGGAAAATATTTATTTAGCATAAATATCATAAGAAATTTTATGAAAATAATAACCTCAATTGTAAACTCATTGACCTCTTTTTATCAAAGAAGACATTCAGAAATATAACACATAAAAATGGACACTATTAGAACCATAAAATTCAGCTGCACCTCTGTCATAGCATATGAGGCAGAAATACAAAAGAATTATTATTTAAATCATATAAACTGGTTTCTAGTCATGTGATACCCTTGGCAGATTACCTATGAAACCATGGAGCTAATGTAAGCTATAAAACAGGAAACTAAGTCCAAGCAGTACGTTACAAAATTATATGGGAACTCTGATTTTTATTTACTTTTTTCAATGAATCTTAAACTGCTCTAAAATTAAATTAAAATATTTACAGAAAAATATTAATTAAAATAATTAAAGACAAAATAAAGATACATTACAAAAACATCCCTGTAAAGAAAGTAAAAAAATAACCCACAAAGTGAAATTGTTTTGAAATTTTTAAATATTTCTTGGAAATACTTGGAAGTACTGGAAGATTTCTTGAAATTATTGTTTAAATCATTCAACTAGTACAAAATCAGTAGAAAATAATAAGATATTTTACAGTAGATGTGTGGAGAATCAATAAGTAATCAAGGCACATTCAACTGCTTGATTCTTTAGGAAAATGGAAAGTTCACTGGGTAAAACTACACATATTTCTTTAAACAGCTTAAATTAAAAGTTAAATTAAACAAGCAAATGGAATTATGAAATACATTAATTCAAACTATTACTTTTTGTCACATTTGAGAAACATTTTGGATAAAATAACAACTTTTATTTACTTAGGTTTCTCACAGAAACGTGCTTACGCTGCACCTATTAAGCACAAAAGGGCAGAAAAGCACATATGTTAACCACTGTAGTAAAGCAGATATCCTTGAAAAAAATCCAATATCCCATATCAACCTGTTTATTTTTACAAATACAAAATAATCCACACACACAATTTGGAGAAGAAAAGGCTCTTAAACAAATGGTGCTATAAAATATTTCCACATGATGAAGATCAAAGATACTTCCCTATATCTCACACTGTGTAGTAATCAATTCAAAATTGATCAAAAACCTTAATTTAAAGCCTTAAAATCTGAGATAGCTAAAACAGAAGGCTAATACATACCAAAATTCAGCCATAAGCAAATATTATTGTAAATTGTACCAGTAACTCAGGAACAAAACAAATAAATAGATTCCATGAAACAGGGAATCTATTTATAATGTAGGGAATTAATATCTACATTATATAAAACATGAAAATACCCCAAATCTTCCAATCAATACATAGTCTAATGAGCTCACCAGGCAAGAAAGCATGCAGATACCCAAGAGATATGAAAAATGCAAAAATCATTATCTTTCCAGTTTTAACACACCAAGAATAGTTATCATCAAGTATCAAAGGGAAATACTTTCTGATGAGAATAAATACTAAATGAGTTTTCATAGAGTACTGGGAATATATACTAATGTTGGCAAGGTAGCCCAGTATGGGAATTTGTTCCCAAAAACCAGCTTAAAGCGCCAGAGACAGGTGTCGATCCCACTGCTAGAAGACCCACAAGCTGAAGAAACTATACAACTGTCACACACAGAAGGCCTAGGTTGGTTCAACGCAGGCTGCCTAGCTTTTGGTCCAGAGTCCTTGAACTCCCACTAGCTCAGGTCAGCTGTCTCTGTAGGTTCCTCCATTATGAACTTCGTCCCCCTGGTTCATAGAATCCCTCCTTCCTCTCTTCAAAAGGACCGCCAGAGCTCTGGCACTGCTTGACTGTGACACTCTGCATCAGTTTCCATCAATTATTGGATGAAGACGTGGTGATTTATTAAATTAGTTTATGATTTATTAAAGTCAAGCTGAAGATCAGAAAAGCAAAGTAGTCAAGCCAGTAGATATTAATTCTACCCAGCTGAAATTACAATCCTGTCACCACGAATCCTCCGAGGCAAAAGCTCTCAGTTCCTGTCTCCTCCTTATAGTCCTTCCTCCACAAAGCCAAATCACTCCTATAACCACCTCTTTAGTGCTGTTATTAATGGCAAGTGATACCAAATGCTGAGATCACCTTTTTGTGAGATGTTTCTTTTAGGACTGGCTCAGTTTCCTATAGTCAGTTTGTTCAGGACTAACCAAGATCCATTTACTTCTTAATCCTGAGTCCTGAGATTAAAGGTGTGTATCACCACTGCCTTGATTCTATAGCTAACTAGTGTGTCTGCTTGGTCATATTGATCTGCAGTGCCTTTAATAAATAAAAAACAATATAGAACCGCAAAGACTCTCGGATGACAATCAGAGTAGTCATCAATTTGATTACAGGAGAAGGCTAGTTCAGGCACCGTCTCCATTTTTTGCTAGGAGTCTTAGCTGTGGTCATCCTTGTATATTCCTGGGAGTTTCCCTAACCCCACATTTCTCCCTAACTGCAAAACGTGCCCCATTGCATCAAGACACCTCTTCAA